GGGGGAGGGGCGGGAGGGGAAAGGAGAGGGGGGACTCAGGGTGGGTGGGTCGGAGGCGGCCGTGCACTTGGATCCTCCGGTAACAAGATTCGCCGGTACGCTTGCCACCAGGATGCCGCTCAGACCCCTAAAAATAGCTCCCCTGGGGGGCCCCCCAAATAGGAATGCGGCTTCAAGATGCCAGAGGATCTCAAGGTTGAACCCAGGGCAGGATCCAGTGACATACATGTAGGCCTGTCATGCAGGAGCTGGGAGGGGTGTGTGTGGATATCATTTTAATTATGGTCATCATCATCACCATCAACATCCTCATAATCACAGGAGGATTTCAAGCTCTTGAAAGCTTCCTGACTCCAAGCTGCTTCACGCAGTGCCAGTGGGTTGCTTTATGCATCAAGATCGGAGAGATCTGGGTTCAAGTTCTCACCAAAAGCAGAAAACTCACTGGGTAACCTCTTAGACTCGTCTCTCTCTCTCTCACCCACACAAACACACACATACAGTCACAATGATGGATCTATTGTGCTCAATTTTTGCCATGCCTTTCCTGCATTAAGGCAAGGCGGCCTCCTGTGTCTCTGCCCAACTCTCGATTTCCCCATTGTTTAAATACTGGAAAGAATATAAATTCCTCCTTCTACTCCACTGTTGTTCAACGTGCATTATCTGTGCAAACAATGTTTCTCACAAACGGAAAAGCTTTCCCACTGAGAACAACAGAAAACAGTTTGTCTTTTTAAAATGCAAAATGAAAATGTTTTGGTTCTTTTGTTGCATAATAAAAAAGACAGTGCCCTCTACTGGTAAAAAACAGATAGTGCCTCCAGCCATTGAGTTTGGAGCAAAACTTTGGAAACAACGTATGAAAAATATTCAGAATCAACACTTAAAGGTAAAATAACACACCTGAGACATTGCTCTAAAGATATTAATAGGGGAAAAAAGCTTTTGTTCAACTTGACTGTAACACAAAATAGCCAAATAAGCAATCTCCCCGTAATGTTTTTTAAACATACGAAAGACACGCTGGAATTAACTTTTCTTTCCAAATGAATCCAAACATGGGTTCTCTCAAAGGAATTCAGATTATTAGCATGCATTTATTATAACATGATTTGTTATGTGTTATAATTGGCTTTGGTTGTATTTGTTCCATAATGAATGGTTAAGTCTAAACAATTTGTTGCTGTGTGCCAACCGCTGCCTTAAAGTCAACTCTAATAGGGCTCTGAAGGTAAATGAGATAATTAAGGAGCAGTTTTACCAGTTCTACCCATCCCGCAGTGAGTTTTCATGGCCGAGTGCAGATTTGAACCTAGGCTTCCTGACTCCAAGCTTGTCCCTCTATCCACCACACCACACTGAGCATCCTAAATCAACCTGTGCCAACCCACTAAATAAAAAATTAAGGAAAGTAAAGGGACACACAGGAAATTGGCATTGACTATGGGTAAAAATGGTTGAATCTTGTTTTATTTTCTCTTGCGTTCCACTTTTTAAAATCTCCAGTGGTTTCTTGTCCTGATCAACTTT